AGGTAAGTGCAGGGTCCTCGTGTAGGCTCTGGGAGGGTGAAAAACAGCCCTCCCGGAAGTTCCTGAAACAGGCCTGTTTCTGGCTTCCGGAGGGTCTCCAGAGCCCAGGGGAGGCTGTATTTGCCCTCCCAGAGGCCTGAGGGAAGCCTCCAGACTCTGGGGAAGGTGAAAAATGGCCCTCCCAGAAGTCCAGAAACAGGCCTGTTTCCAGCTTCCAGAGGGCCTCTGGAGCCCAGGGGAGGCTGTTTTTGCCCTCCCAGAGGCCTGAGGGAAACCCACTATGGCCAGTGACTGGGCAGAGAACCAGTTGTTGGGATTTTTGAATCCCACCCCTGGTTATACAACTATTTTATTTTACATTTTTATTGTTATTTTTCCTCTAAAAGATTTCAGTTTGTTTTTAATTTGAATTGTACAGCTTAAATATTATATTAAAGGTGGAAAAAATTCTGAAGTGTTTTATCTTGGTCTGATTTTTTTACATCTCAAAAACCTGGCATTCTAAAAGAGGTGTGTAGATTTTTTATATCCACTATAGCTCATCACTTTTGAGTTAGGACAAAAAGTAAAAAATAAAAATTACAATGTCAGATGATAAGGTATTCCAGAATTTCATTTTATATCCATTGCTATTTAATTCCTACTTGTAATGATATATATGACAAAGTGAATTAAACTATCATGGAAAATTCTATTGTTAGAAAGACTTTCTTAATTGAACTGTTTCGTTGCCCTTAGAGAAACCTGGTTAAGTACAGATGATACTGCAAGTATAAAAACATTTGTTGATAGAGATTATACACTACACTGCTCAAAAAAATAAAGGGAACACTTAAACAACACAATGTAACTCCAAGTCAAACACACTTCTGGGAAATCAAACTGTCCACTTAGGTAGCAACACTGATTGACAATCAATTTCACATGCTGTTGTGCCAATGGAATAGACAACAGGTGGAAAGCAGAGGCAGTTAGCAAGACATCCCCAATAAAGGAGTGGTTCTGCAGGTGGTGACCACAGACCACTTCTCAGTTCCTATGCTTTCTGGCTGGTGGTTTGGTCACTTTTGAATGCTGGCAGTTGCTTTCACTCTAGTGGTAGCATGAGACGGAGCCTACAACCCACACAAGTGGCTCAGGTAGTGAAGCTCATCCAGGATGGCACATCAGTGCGAGCTGTGGCAAGAAGGTTTGCTGTGTCTGTCAGCATAGCGTCCAGAGCATGGAGGTGCTACCAGGAGACAGGCCAGTACATCAGGAGACGTGGAGGAGGCCGTAGGAGGGCAAGAACCCAGCATCAGGACCACTACCTCCGCCTTTGTGCAAGGAGGGACAGGAGCACTGCCAGAGCACTGCAAAATGACCTCCAGCGGGCCATAAATGTGCATGTGGCTGCTCAAACGGTCAAAAACAGACTCCATGAGGGTGGTATGAGGTCCCGACATCCACAGGTGGGGGTTGTGCTTACAGCCCACCACCGTGCAGGATGTTTGGCATTTGCCAGAGAATACCAAGATTGGCAAATTCGCCACTGGTGCCCTGTGCTCTTCACAGATGAAAGCAGGTTCACACTGAGCACGTGATAGATGTGACAGGGTCTGAAGACGCCATGGAGAATGTTCTGCTGCCTGCAACATCCTCCAACATGACCGGTTTGGCAGTGAGTCAGTAATGGTGTGGGGTGGCATTTCTTTAGGGGGCCGCACAGCCCTCCATGTGCTCGCCAGAGGTAGCCTGACTGCCATTAGGTATTGAGATGAGATCCTCAGACCCCTTGTGAGACCATACGCTGGTGCAGTTGGCCCTGGGTTCCTCCTAATGCAAGACAATGCTAGACCTCATGTGGCTGGAGTGTGTCAGCAGTTCCTGCAAGACGAAGGCATTGATGCTATGGACTGGCCCGCCCATTCCCCAGACCTGAATCCAATTGAGCACATCTGGGACATAATGTCTCGCTCCATCCACCAATGCCACATTGCACCACAGACTGTCCAGGAGTTGGGGGATGCTTTAGTCCAGGTGTGGGAGGAGATCCCTCAGGAGACCATCCACCACCTCATCAGGAGCATGCCCAGGCGTTGTAGGGAGGTCATACAGGCACGTGGAGGCCACACACTGAGCCTCATTTTGACTTGTTTTAAGGACATTACATCACAGTTGGATCAGATTGTAGTGTTTTTTTCCACTTTTAATTTTGAGTGTAACTCCAAATCCACACCTCCATGGGTTGCTAAATTTGATTTCCATTGATATTTTTTGTGTGATTTTGTTGTCAGCACATTCAACTATGTAATGAACAAAGTATTTAAAAAGAATATTTCATTCATTCAGATCTAGGATGTCTTATTTTTGTGTTCCCTGCTTTCATCTGTGAAGAGCACAGGGCACCAGTGGTGAATTTGCCAAATTTGTTGTTCTCTGGCAAATGCCAAATGTCCTGCAGTGTTGGGCTGTAAGCACAACCCCCACCTGTGGATGTCGGGCCCTCATACCACCCTCATGGAGTTTGTTTCTGACCATTTTGAGCAGCCACATGCACAGTTGTGGCCTGCTGGAGGTCATTTTGCAGAGCTCCTCCTGTCCCTCCTTGCACAAAGGTGGAGGTAGCGGTCCTGATGCCGGGTTGTTGCCCTCCTATGGCTTCCTCCACATCTCCTGATGTACTGGCCTGTCTCCTGGTAGCACCTCCATGCTCTGGACGCTACGCTGACAGACACAGCAAACCTTCTTGCCACAGCTCGCACTGATGTGCCATCCTGGATGAGCTGCACTACCTGAGCCACTTGTGTGGGTTGTAGACTCCGTCTCATGCTACCACTAGAGTGAAAGCACCGCGAGCATACAAAAGTGACCAAACCATCAACCAGAAAGCATAGGAACTGAGAACTGGTCTGTGGTCACCACCTGCAGAACCACTCCTTTATTGGGGATGTCTTGCTAACTGCCTCTGCTTTCCACCTGTTGTCTATTCCATTGGCACAACAGCATGTGAAATTGATTGTCAATCAGTGTTGCTACCTAAGTGGACAGTTTGATTTCACAGAAGTGTGTTTGACTTGGAGTTACATTGTGTTGTTTAAGTGTTCCCTTTATTTTTTTGAACAGTGTAGTTCTTGCTTCACTTTCTACCATAACTTTATGGACCTATTTCAATCACACTTTCATGTGGGACAGTCTATACTAACTTGTTAATGGCCAAGGCAAAATCTATCATTGGTATCAGTGCTGTTAGAGCTGCACCTCTGATCACCAAATTTTACTGTGTTTTTCAACTAAGTTCCTTTGGCCCTATAGCCATGATGGCGAACCTGTGGCACGCAGAGCCATTTGTGCCCGCACATGAGCTGCAGGCAAACTTACCTCACTGTGCATGTACGCGCCTCACAGCTGATTTTTGGCCGGTTTGAGGCCTTTTTTGGCCTCCCAAAGGCCGAAAACTAGCCCCATTTTGTCACTTCATGTTTTTCCGAAAATACCGGAAGTGACGAAACGGGGCTAGATTTCAGCCTACAAAGCTTGTAGAAGCCTGAGGAAGCTGTCCTCAAGCCTTTTGGAGGCCGAAAAAGGCCTCAAACCGGCTGAAAATCAGCTGTGAGGCACAGTGCAGGTAAGGGGGCAGCGGGGGTGGGTGGGATTGCGCGCACATGTGTAGAGGGCGTGGGGGGGCACATTGCCTTCTGGGTGCTGGCACGCAAGCACGACCGTGCAATCATGCGCACAATTTTTGGCACAGGAGTCCAAAAAGGTTAGCCACCACTGCCCTATAGGTACATTTCACTTGGTTTCAAACATGTTTTACAGGACTTTTTCTGTTTTGTAGAAGAGTTTAATTTTTACAGCTTTCCCACTGTCAATAGGAATTCCTCCAGGCTCAGTGGGGTTCCTTTTTATTTTTTTTATATGCTTTTCCTCTATTCAGATTTTATATTATAAATTCAACTACTATGCATATGCTGACAAGTTTCAGAAGTATTCATCTGTCCCTATTCTATTTGATATGAGGGGAAATTCTAACTGCATAGGCACAATTTCAGATTATATGTGATTCCACTGTTTTAAACTTAACATAGATAAAGCAGATACTGTGTTCTACTCTGATCATCCCTCCTTTTCAAGTTTCTCACTGAGTTCAAGGCTGCCAGCTAAAAGTCTCCCCAGGTATGAAGAACCTAGGAGTCTAAAACAGCTAAATTGCCTTTAAAACCTTTGATTAAAAATTGTTAAAATCTGCTATGTCCATTTAAGTAACATGCAGATTCAGTTGGTTTCTCACAACTGAGAAGGCCATGCCCTTGGTTCATATCTTATTTGCATCATACTTGGATTACTGCTGTTTGGATTACTCAAGAACCCAGTCTGTCTTATGTGGATCCATATTGCTATACATACTTTTCAAAACTTTGCAATTTTGTCTTATCACTTTATCACCAGCTATTCCACTACTTGGAAAAAGATACTATTATAAATTTATGGTGTTAACACAGCATGCTTTACCTATGGGCATACACGGTACAGGTAGTTTGTTAAGTGAGTTTTGCCCCATTTTACAACCTTCCTTGCCATAGTTAAGTGAGTCACTGCACTTGTTAAATTAGTAACATGGTTAAGTGAAACTGGCTTCCCCATTGACTTTGCTTGTCAGGCGGTTGTGAAAGGTGATTACATGACCCCAGGGACACTGCAAACTTCATAAATGTGAGTCAGTTGCTGAGCATCTGAATTTTGATCACATGACCATGTGATCAATTAAGTCATTAAGTGTGAAAAAACAAACTGCTGTAAGTCAAGGACTACCTGTGTTTGAAGGACTTGCTGGTGTCTGATGTATTTCTGTGTGTAACCTGATAATCAAGCCAGAGTTACTTGGTTTTACTGGGTATTAGAACCACATCACAATTAAACTCTCTTTGGAAGAGATACATAACTTGGAATCAAATCACCAAAAAGATTTTCAAAAGCACTGTGAACCTGCTTTAAAATAAAATCTTACCTGTTACTTTGAATATATAGAGGTTAATATCATTACAGTGCATGAACCTCTTACTACAGGGGTTCTTTATTTTATAAGACTATAACTGATTGTAATGTGATGTTCTATCAACTGTTTTTTATGTAATGTTTATACTACGGTCAGTTATAAGCACAGAATAAATAAAAGTACTATCAACCAGAAGATGTTCACACTTCATCTAGAGTTATTCAATTACATGTGAGGTGGTTGATGTAGTAAGAGAATATACAAGAATGTGCCACCAATGGTTTCTCATCAAAACAGAGTGAGAGATCCAGCAGGGCTCTCACAAAACTCCATTAATGGGCCTTGTACATTTTTCCATATTATTAATGGCTAAGTCAAAGAAACACTTATCAAACCTGTTGGCATCATAAAATGGAGTGAAGTAGTGAGACTGAAATAATTGAGTACAGTAAGACAACAGAAATAAAATTGAAAACTATCTCAATAGGTTAGTGAAGCAACAGAATTATGCCAAAACAATAGAATTAAAATTTAACAGAAATGAAGGAACCATTATATGCTTAGGAAGAAGAAAACAAATACACAGGTATAGAATAGGAGCTCTCTGGCTTGAGAATATTACTTCTGAAAAGGATTTTAAAATACCATCTATGTGGCTCCTTAAACAGGAAATGCAATTTTAAGCTGCATCAATTGAAATATGATTCATAAATCTCAGAAGCAAATTATGGGGTGGGGGTGGGGGGTTGGTCAGAGCACCTTAAGTCCCTGCCCAGAGTCACCTTATAGGGGAGATGGCTGCCACAAAAATTTAATTAAAAATAAAATAAAATAAAATTACTATATTGAATCGCGAACACAAAACTATCCACCTGGTATTGGGCTTCAAAGAATGAACATTGGCTTACCTGAATGTTCGTTTTCTTCTGTGGTGTAGAGAGTCCAGATAGGGTTAAATCAGATCCTGCCCTGTTGGACTGAGTCTGCGTTAAAACTGAAGCTCCGCCCTGTGCCGTGGCCATGCCCCAGCTTTCGACGAAGCACCTGGCAGACTGGACGTGATTCCGGAGTTGCGAGATAAAAAAGAACACACATTATTGCTCCCAACCCCCACCCAGACCAGATGAACCAGGGTGGGGCTGGATTCTCTATGCCACAGACGAAAACAAACATTCAGGTAATCCAATGTTCATTTTCCTGTCTGTGGCTCCGAGAGTCCAGATAGATAGAGACATACCAAAGCTGGCCAGTCCCTGGGAGGGCACAAGTCTGGTCCTACTCACATTGGCGTTCGAGCACGCTCTGTAGAACCCTCCTGCCAAAAGCTGAATCGGCTGATGCAAAGGCATCCAAGCGGTAATGCCGAATGAAGGGTGACAGTGAAGACCATGTAGCCGCTCTACAAATCTCTTCAATGGGTGCTTGAGTAGCCCATGCTGCAGTTGTTGCCGCACTTCTAGTAGAGTGAGCAGTCACCCTTTGAGGCACCAGGAGAGACCTGCTCTGATAAGCCTTAGCAATGCAAGTCCTGATCCATCTGCCTACTGTCTATGGAGACACTTTCAACTCCATTGTGCCCAGCTGGAAGGGCACAAAAAGTGCCTCCAACTTTTGGATAGAACGTGTCCTCCAGATGTATATCTTTAAGGCTCTATGGACATCCAGGGTGTGCCATGCCCGTTCCAAATTATGGGTAGGATTGGGGCAGAAATATGGGAGAATAAGCTCTTGAGCCCCAAGGAACCTAGAATTAATCTAAAGGATGAAAGATGAGTCTAACCGCAAAACCACTCTATCTGGATGGAAGACACACAAATCTTCTGTCAGCTTTGGAAACCTTATTCAATGCCGCCACACAGCTTGAGAAAGTGGGAGGGGAGTGATTTTTATTGAGTAGCTCTTAGTAGACAAAATAGAATTCTTTTGTTAGTTCAAGGTCATAGAGTGTGGCACAGAAACAAAAAGGAACTTACTTTGGGATTGGTTCATGTGATGTGATGATAAGGGAAAAGGGGACGGTTTGTAGTTTGGGACATTGTGGGAAGTCCAGGAAACTTTTAATTTCTAGAATGAAGGTTTGCTGGAACGCTGACATTATCTTGAAACTCTAACAACCTTCAGCTCTCCAAGGAGGGGAGCAGTTAGGGTTTGCTGAACCCCAGGACCGATTCCATAAATGGAACAGTGCAAAGAATCAGCAAAGGTGGAAGGTGAGACAGAAGGGGCTTGGGGGGGGGGTCCGGAAGATTAACTGAATCCCCCAGCCCCCCTTCGGAGGTGGTGATACAAGCACTGAAGCGTGCAGAAGAGAGACTAGATTTAGGAGCCCAGCCCAGAGGATCAGACTCGTGGGGGAATTGTCAGACGGGACTGGAGGGGAAGCTACCTGAACAGATCTTTCTCAAGCCCTCTACATACTGCAAGGGAGACAGACTGGAGGTGTGGGGCCCCAACTGGATCAGACGCCTCCCAAACGCAAACCAGGGGATTACATCCCGAAGCCAATCGTAAGCAAGAATCCCAGAACAGCTTCAACAGTTTAAGGTGGAAAGTTATATCTCAAAGCCACAGCCTCTCCAGGCAAGCTGGAGCATAACGCAACCCACTTTTACCTTCCCCAGTTTAAGGAGGGGAGGGGAATTCACTCTGGTATCAGTTGGAGATGGCCAGCGAAGCAGCCCATCCTGGCAGGATCAAGTTTCAAAGGAGAGACGGGAGACGCAGACTACAATGGGTATGTTAGGAAATCCAAGTCCCCGCCCCCCCGAGCAGAAAGGAGATTACCCCCTGCAGAGAGTATCCCTCCAGGGTGGGGATTTTATCCTGGTCAAGGGTGGGTCCAGTGCCAATGGATGCCAGCGCCAGGAATGCCCTGGCCCCAAAGAGAATCAGCGATCCCTTCCCAGCAAAGGGATCTGCACAGGTAGTAGACGGCAGCCAATCCCCTTTTCCCCGCGCAGGGAATAAGGCAACAACCGGCCACTTCATGGCAAGCCCCAATTCATCCCCCACTCGGAGCAACCCTGCAGAGGCCCTTCTTCCAGAGAGCCCCAACCCAGCCAGGCCTCAGAATACCCTCCCAAAGTAGGTACGTGCCTCGTCAGGTTCCATTCATTCCGGCTCAGCCTGCGGTTGCCAGGGTGATACCACCTCCCCTCCAACCACCCAGACCAGACCAGATACTGTTAAAACGACTTTTGACGGACATGAACATTTTGCTTATTTCCTCACTCGAATCTGGTCTCACACAGACCAATTTGGAGGCCAATATGCAACAGAGCATGATCTGATCACTGCAATAACAGATGGGATGAATGAGGGGGATGCTTCTGATTGGGTGGCTCAATTGCAGTACGAACAGGCCCCAGAGCTAGAGGATGTCAATGCTTTTGTTGATTTGTTGATTTGAAAATCCAGACAGAGTGGCGGAAAATGAGAACAAATTAATGGAAATGAAACAAGGCAAACAACCCTTATCAGACCTTGTATGGGACTTTAGAAGGGTCGCAAGCCAGCTCATGGACTGGCCTGAAAGAATCATCTTGCACTATTTCAAAAACACCATTGACCCAGAAGTAAAAAAAAGCTTGCAACATTAGAGGTATACCCAAAATGCTACAAGCGTGGTATGCAACAGCTCTCAAATTAGACCGCAATATCAATCAACAAAAAAGAACCCTACCTGAAGGCCCTCCTAGGAGACCTGTGGCCAGACTGCTGACCAGACCTGCTGAAGCTGCTCCCACCCAACCCACCAGAACGATGAAGTGTTATTGTTGTGGCCAGGATGGCCATAGAGAAGCCAACTGTTTGGCCCCTGCACCTGTTCCACAAGCTCCACAACCAAGGCCTAATACAGCCACCAGGTCAAAAATTTCAACGAAAGCCTCCAGACACTAGCCGCTTTGCTAGACACACTGTGGAAGGTCCACTCCATGCAGAAGGAAGCAACGAACTTCCAAACCAAGACACCCTCCCCAGAGAAGCCAATGAAGAAGACAACCCTATGGTGAGTGCACCCATCACACCATTTTCTGTCAAAGTGAAGTTAGTGGTGCCAAACACGGGGGAGGCAGGAGAATTAGAAGCTGTCATAGATACCAGGTGTTCTAGATGCCTTATTGGCCTATCGTTAAGCAATTAGGTATAAAAACAAAAACCCTGAAATGCCCAATCAGGTTCGAGCAAGTGGGACTTTAATTGGGGGAATCCCAGCCACACAAATGACAGAGTTAATCAAACTTGAGATGGGTAGTCACCACAAACTCATACGTTTTATAGTGACTCCAAGGGTGTCAGAATCTGTCATACTGGGACTTGCTTGGCTAGATAAATGGGCCCCTACCATCAAGTGGGAGGATGGATACTGAAAAAATTATAATTGGGGTGGGCCCACTGCTCCCCCTTCCTCCCATAAAGAAACTACCACCCAACATGGGTCCAGAAACTGAAGCAGCAGCCACCGCCTTGGACTCTCTTCCAGGTACTCCCCAAGTACCCAAATAATACAGAGAATGCTGAGGCATTCAGTGAAGAGAAATACAATGTTTTACCTCTACATCGAGCCACTGATTGTGCCATAGTTAGAACCCAGGGCAAAACTGCCAAAACCAAAGATGTATTCCATGACACCAGCTGAAATGATTGAATTGAGGAAGTACATCGATAACAATTTAGACAGAGGTTTCACTGAACCTGCCAAATCTCGGTTGGCTGCCCCAGTGCTGTTCAAAGAAAAGATGGCAGGTTGAGATTATGTGTGGATTTTAGGGGCATGAATGCTGTATGTGTAAAAAGCATGTACCCTCTCCCCCTCATGACTTATTAAACCACCTGTCAAAAGGCAAGGTCGTCACCAAACTAGATCTCAGAGAAGCTTACTACCAAGTCTGCATAAAGGAGGGAGACAAATGGAAAACTGCCTTCAACTGCCCTTTGGGTAGTTTCTAATTCCGAGTCATGCCTTTCGGACTTCAAGGGCTCCCCGTAGTATTTATGCAACTCATCAATGAAAATGTTACATCTGCACCTGTACCACGGGGTCCTTGTCTACCTAAATGACATCCTTATATTCAGCGAAACCATCGAGGAGCATGTCAAATTGGTCAGACAAGTGCTGAAAAAACTTTTAGCCACCAAGTTATATGTAGAACTGTAAAAATGCGAATTCCACAAGGAGTCGCTGGATTACCTAGGCTACCAAATATCCAACCAGGGAATTGAGATGGACCCTGGAAAAGTGAAAGCCGTGCTAGACTGGCAACCCCCCAAAACACAAAAACAACTTCAAAGCTTTTGGGGGTTTGCCAATTTTTATAGACAATTCATTCCTTCTTTTGCGGAGGTAGCCCTCCCTTTGACAGAGTTACTGAAAATGGGGCCTTCCCCCATCAAACCGAAGCCCAGTCAACCCCTTGCTTGGACAATGGACTGCCAGAGAGCTTTTGAATCCTTAAAACGCCTCTTTGCAGCTGAGCCCATTCTCCAGCACCCAGACCCAACCAGACTTTTTATAGTCCAAACTGATGCTAGTGATGTGGCTGTCATGGCCATTCTTTTCCAAAAGGACTTTCAGAACTGGCTAATGCCTTGTGCTTATGTGTACAAAAAGCTGACAGACACAGAGCAAAGGTGGGCGGTTTGGGAGAAAGAAGCATTTGCAGTGCAATGGGCTTTGCTGACTTGGAGGCATTTCCTAGAAGGGGTGAAGGAGCCGTTTGAGGTGTGGACTGATCACAAGAACCTTGAGGCTCTAAAGACACCTCGGAAGCTATCACCTAAACAAGTCTGCTGGGCTCAATATTTCAAATGGTTCAACTTCAACATGAAACATATCCCCGGAGGGAAAAACATATTGGCTGATGCCCTATCAAGAAAACCCCAATTTGACAGTTGCTGAGAGGAAGTAGTGCAGACTATGATATCAGAAGCTCAACCGGCAGGCCAAGTAACCACCCGAGGCCAAGCCAACCGCAACCCCAGACGCCTAGAAGACAAACTGACAACGGAGTTGAAAGCAGCCCTATTGACTGACCCATGGTTTGTGGAGCATCAAACCGAGTTGACAATGAATGAGGGACTGGCTTGGAAAGGGACTAAACTTTATGTACCCACTAATCTAAGAATAATGGTACTAAAATGTAGCCATGACTTGCGGTTGGGGGGACACTTTGGGTTCTTAAAAACCCTGCATTTAGTCAGAAGACAGTTCTGGTGGCCAAAAATGAAACCTGATGTCAAGGACTATGTGAAAAGCTGCTCAATTTGTGCCACGATGAAACACAGAACTGGGAAACCCTCTGGCCTCCTCCAACAAGTAGCTGAGCCAAAAAGCCGTGGGAAGAAATTGCGATGTACTTTATCATAGAATTACCTGAGAGTGGAGGGAATACACTTATTTGGACTGTTATCAACTTATTCTCTAAGCAAGCCCATTGTCAGAGTTCCAGGGAACCTCCATTCCAATCAGTAACTCCGAGACAAGCATAATCTCAAAAGTACCTTTATTAGAATAGCACCTGGCACATCTATGGAATTTCAAAACTAAAAGTTTCCCAGACTTCCCACAATGTCCCAACCTACAAACCATCCCCTTTTCTCTCATCATCACATCACATGAACCAATCCCAAAGTAAGTTCCTTTTTGTTTCTGTGCCATACTCTATGACCTTGAAATAACAAAAAAATTCTATTTTGTCTACTTACAGCTACTCAATAAAAATCACCCCCCTCCCATTTTCTCAAGCCATCTCTGAGATCCTTCTAGCCGAAGTGGTGGCTACTAGAAATGCTACCTTGAGAGATAGGAAGTGTAAACCAATGGACCTGAGCAGTTCAAAAGGTTCAGCCATTAAGGCCCTTAACACCTTAGGAAGATCCCAAGTGGGGAATCTGTGAACCACAGGTGGTCTAAGGTTGGTGACCTCTTTTAAAAACCTCTGGATGGTTTGGTTCTGAGACAAGGACCCCTTCCTGTGTATGTACAATACTGACGAAAGGTGGCCACCTGTCTGCATAGAGTGTTTGCCAAGAGCCCTTTGTCAAGACCCTCTTGTAAAAAATTCAGAATGTTGGCTACTGAAGCTGAAGTGGGGGAAATCCTATTCTTGATGCACCACTGGCAGAAGACCTTCCATGTGGCTTGATAGATGCAGTTGGTTGAAGGCCTCCTAGCCGCTAGAATGGTACGGATGGTCTGATCCAATATATTTTGTCTCCTCAGAGTGCTCTGCTCAACCTCCAAGTGGTCAGATGGAACCACTGAGGCTCTGGGTGGGTTATTTCTCCTTGGTATAGGGACACCTTGTGAGGAGGGATTCTCCATGGTTGGGTGGTCGAGAGATTTACCAGATCTGCAAACCAGGGGCATCTGGGCCAGTAAGGAGCCAGAAGTATGACCTCTTCCTCCTCCTTCACTATCTTTCTGACTACTGCTGGGAGCAGTGGAAGAGGAGGGAAGGCATACAGGAGACCCTGAGGCCACCTGCTCCTGAGGGCATTGGTCCCTTCTGCCCCCTGGTTCATGAACCTGGTGAAAAACCTGGGTAGTTTGGTATTGGTTGGAGATGCGAACAGGTCCACCACTGGTAGTCCGAACTGTTTTGACAGCTCCTGAAATAAAAGAGGGGGAATACTCCACTCTGAGGGGTCAATCTTGGCCCTGCTAAGCCAGTCCGCTTGAACATTTTCCACCCCAGAGATGTGTTCTGCCCTGATTGACAGGAGATTCCTCTCTGCCCAAAGGCCCAAACATTCAGCCTCTAACATTAAAGCCCTAGATCTGGTGCCACCCTGCCTGTTGATGTGAGCCTTGGCAGCTACATTATCTGTTAAAATTAGGATGTGTGTGTTGTATGATGTTTCTAAATTTCTTGAGAGGCAATCGAATCACTCTCAATTCTAACCAATTAATGTTCTTTCCCCTCTCCAAAACATACCAATGGCCTTGGGCCAACTGTGACTGTAAATGCACCCCCCAGCCGGAGAGACTGGCATCAGTAGTGATTACTGTTCGGGACAGCTCTCTGAATAATTGACCTGCATTCAAAGTCTGAGAAAACCACCATGACAAGGACTGCTTGACAGACCCAGGGACTGAGACCTTGAGATATGAGTGACTTCTACCCGCCTTTTGGTGAGGCAACAGAAACCACTGAAGCTTTCTGGAGTGTAGTCTAGCCCAAGGCACAATGGAGATGCAAGAAATCATCTTACTTAAGAGTTCTGACAGAAGTGCCAAGGGGGACTTATCCGCTCTCACGACCTCCCTCACCATGCTTTGTAGACTGTCTTTGTGTTCCTGACCTTACAAGACACTGTCAATCTTAGCTCCAAGATGCTATGTTAATAGAAAAGCCATGGTCTTGTAACAGGGAGACTGTCGCTTGGAGATCCTTTAAGGCCCAGTCATGTGAGGATGATTGGATTAAAATGTCATTCAGGTAACACTGCACCCTTACTGGGATGGTTCTGAAGCGAGCTGCCAAGGCAGTCAAGACCTTAGTAAACACCCTGGGTGCAGAGGATAAACTAAAAGGCATAGCCCTATATTGGAAGTGATTCCACTCGTAGCTGAAGCGTTAAGTATTCCCTGTGTGTCTGACAAATTCTGATGTGTAGATAAGCCTCTGTTAAATCAATTGAGGTGAAGAAGGCACCCTCCCTGATGCTCTGCAAAATAGACTGCAGCGAATGCATCTGGAAACGCTTGTACAGCAAAAATTTATTGAGCCTTTTAAAAACCAGAATGGCTCTCCACTTCCCAGAAGCCTTGGGAACAACAAACAGCCAGGAGTAGAATCCCTTATCCTGTTGATTAACTGGAACTGACTGGATGGCTCTAATATCCAGTAGGTGTTGGATGGCCTGTTCCATTAGTTTCCTACAGGAAGCCTCCTTGGAAACAGGGCAAGGCACATAAAATCTGGGGGGTTGTGACCTAAATTCTACGAAAAGGCCATGTCTGATGGTCTTTAAGACCCAAGCATCAGATGTAGTAGCCTCCCATTGGGCTACAAAATTGGATAACCTACCCCCAATGGGAGAACTACTGCTGCATTTAGCAGGAACGCCAGAAGTGACTTCCTCCCACACGAAAGGGTTACTTGCCTGAAAATTGGGGCCTATCTCTGGTCGCTCTTTCCTGGGGGAGTTCCTGGCAGTTGAAGGACTGCCTCTGAAGCCCTTGAGCCCCGGTGCTGCCCTCGGCTCTGAAAGATGACCTACAGGTGTATGGCACTGCTCTGTAACTGGACCGCCTTGCCAGAGAAGGAAGGTATTTCTTTTTATCTCTGGTCTCCACCAGATGGGGCTCTAAGACCTCCCCAAACAATTTATCCCCCTTGATGGGGGCAGATGCCACCTTCCACTTCCACCACCCATCGGCCTGCCAGTTTTTAAGCCAGACCATTCTGCGGGCTGCAACAGAAGTGGCATCCACAGTGAATTCAGCTGCAGCCACTAGTTTATGGATGTTTTAGTGCACTCGGACATCTGTGGCGGGGACTCTGTCTTGCAGTTGGTGCAGCCAACGTAAAGAAGACCTCATAAAGAAAAAGGCAGCTGAAGCAGCTTTGACTGCCCAGGCAGCCGCCAGGTGGCTATGTTGGAGGGATTGTTCTATCCTCTTGTCCTCTGCCTTCAATGCCTCCTCTGGATCAGCGGGGTTTGATGAGGAAGAAATCAAGGCTGCAACCGGACCGTCAACTGATGGCACCTGTAATGAGCTGGTAAGTTCAGGCACCATATTAAAGTAGCGGCATTCGCTGGCCGATAACATGGCAGAAGTTCCCAGGGATTCCAGCTGTTTCTTGATAACATTCAAAAATAATCTAGGCACTATGATGGGAGATTTCAATGGAATAGTAGATGCTAAGTTAGATTATAAATCACAGAAAATAACCAAGCAAAGTAGAAAGATTCTCCCGAAATCCTTTTTTAAAACGACAGAGGAATTAAATTTAAAAGATGCCTGGAGAGAAAGAAATGCAAAAAATAGACAATACACTTTTTATTCAAATAGACACTCATCTTGGCCAAGAATAGATATGATATGGATGTCAACGGAATTAATCTCCAATATGCATGTAATTGATATTGAAGCAAATACTCGGGCAGACCACAATCCAATTACAATGAAATGGAAAGGACAAAGGAAAAGATCTAGATGGACTTTAAACAATACAGTATTAAAAAAAAGACTTTATACAGAAAATGGAGAAAGAAATGGCGTTTTTCTTTAAAGAAAATAGAACAGAGGACACCTTAGTACAAAATCTTTGGGATACAATGAAAGCTTATGCGAGAGGATTGATACAAGAAAAAGAAATATAAAGAAAAGACAAATGTTGCAAACAGTAGAGGAGGACTATAAGAGACTTGAGAAGGAATTAAGAAATATCCACAAAAAGGATATTACAATTCAAATGGATACAGCTAAACATAATATGGGTTTAATGGAAAAAGAATTAGCACAAAAAATTAGAAGTGCTAAACAGAATTACTTTGAAGATGCAAATAAACCAGGTAGATGGCTAGCATATAAGTTGAAAAAGGAGAGAGATTCGAGAAAGATAATGCAACTGATAGATGATCAAGGGAAAATCTGCTATGGAAATAAAGAGAAGAAAAAAATTATATAGGACTACTATGGCAAACTATATGAACAAGAGAATGTGGATGAAGAAAAAATTAAACAATACCTGCAAAAAATGAATTTACCCCAGATATCTAAGGACACTGCAATGATGTTAGAAGGGACCATAACGATGACGGAACTGAGGCATTAAAAGAACAAAATAATGGAAAGGCACCAGGACCAGATGGTTTACCAGCTGAATTTTATAAGACATTACAGGAACCTTTAAGTCTCCCACTACTTGAAGCGATGAATGATGTTATGTTAAAGAAGAAAATACCCAATTCATGGAAAGAGGCTTATATCACTCTTGTACCAAAGGAGGACGCTGACCCACAACAAATTAAGAATTACAGACCTATTTTTTCCCTGCTAAACTAAGACTACAAAATCTTTGCTTCCATAATGGCAGAAAGACTTAAAAGATATTTGAACAATTTTATACACTCTGATCAAAATGGATTTCTGCCCAAGAGAATACTATGAGGCACATCCGAAAAAGCAAATGGCTTTGATATTTTTAGATGCACAAAAAGCCTTTGACAATGTGAATTGGTGATTTATGGTATTACAATTGGAGCAGATGGGCTTTGGTAAGAAGTTCATTCAAGCCATAGAAGCTATATACTATAAACAATCAGCAAAGGTAATGATAAATGGAGAGCTAACAGACAATATTGATATTAAGAAAGGAACTAGACAAGGTTGCCCGCTGTCACCTCTGTTGTTTGTGTTGACACTGGAAGTACTTAATAGAAATATTAGAGAAGATAAGGATATAAAACGAATGAAAATTAAGAGGGAAGAATATAAATTACAAGCTTTCACAGATGACCTGGCTTTTATTTTAGAGAATCCATTTGAAATAGCATTTAAATTGCTAGAAAAGATTGAGGAATATGGATATGTAGCAGGTTTGAAAATAAATAAAGATAAAGCAAAGATTTTGACGAAGAACATAGTTGAAAAACGAAAGAAAGAATTGACGGAGGTTTTGAAGATCCAGGTCACAAATAAAGTTAAGTATCTAGGAATATATTTGACAGCTAGATGTGGCACACTTAAGAAGAAAACTACTATAAACTCAAACAACAGATTGTGACAGACTTGGCAAAATAGGAAAAATTGCATTTATCTTTAATAGGGAGAATATCCACAATTAAGATGAATATATTACCAAGGATTTTATATTTGTTTCAGACAATTCCAATTAAATTAGGGAAAGACCATTTTGAAGCTTTAAATAAAATAGTACTGAAAAACATTTGGCAGGGAAAGAAGGCGAGAATTAAACTAAAACTACTACAAGATGCTAGAATAAGAGGAGGGTTTGGCTTGCCCATTTGGGAGTTATATTATCAGGAGACAACATTGCTGTGGGTCAAGGAATGGATAACATTAAGGAATACTAGATTATTGACGTTAGAAGGACATGATCTGTTGTTGGGATGGCATGCTTTCTTATGGTACAAGGAGACTAAAATGCATGGATACTTTAGGAGGCATTTTATATGAGAGGCTCTATTATTAATATGGGAGAAAATTAAAAGACAACAGTATTTGAAAATTCCAGTCTGGTTATCAACTATTGAAGTATTCGCATATCCAGTAATCTATAAAATGGAACAGTTAGATATGGCGAAATATTGAATGAAACGGGTGAACTTAAATCTATGCAAGAACTAGAGGAACAAGATATAAGGATGAATTGGTTTTCATATGTGCAAATACATTCTAGATATGATAAAGACTCCAAAATGGAAGGTTTTTATAGTAAATTAACTGAATTAGATAAAATCTTGACAGGTACTGATGAAAAGGTGATTTAAAAATTATATGGATATTTACTAGAGGTTAAACTAGAAGAACAAGTTAAAGAAACTATGATTGCTTGGGGGAAGAATTTTGGATATGGGATAATTTAGAGAAATGGCAAAAATTGTGGTCTCAAAATTATAAAATGACAATGTCAACTGCATATAAAGAGAATTTGTGTAAGATGTTTTACAGGTAGCATTTACCCCCGGCAAGAATAGCATGAATGTTCAAGAACAAGTCGGAGAAATGTTGGAATGTGTCATCAGATGCCTGGATCATATTACCATATGTGGTGGATGTGCGCTGAGGCCAAAAGATATTGGACTAAAATCCACACATGGTTGGAAAAAATGACAAAAAAACACATAGATGTAAAACCAGAGATATTTTTATTGGGCATTATACCTGAAATATACAGTAAAGAATTGATATATTTGATTGTAAATGTATTAACAGTGGCTAGAATTGTTATTTGCCAAAAACTAGAAAAAATGAGGAAATTCCAATGGAAGATGAAGTTATTAAGAAAATGAGAGTGTACAGAAATGAGTAAATTAACATTTGAAATTACGAGAGCAAGAAGATAAACAAATTTTATAAAATATGGGATCTATTTTATCAATGGCTAGATAAAAAAACAGGGAAATGAAATATTTTATAATACTTTATAATAAAAGTATAATAGAACTGTAGAGATAAGATAATGTATGGATATATTACTGAATTGATTAATGATGATGAAATGAATGTTACAAAGTAGGTTAAACTAAAATGGTGATTAGCTCGCACAAAATGATGGAATATTAGTAACAGTCTTGTGATTAACTATGATAATATAAATATATATAGTTGACAATATGAGAATTTAAATTAGAAGGGAAAGACTATAGAGATTACGCACAAGAGATTTGTACCAACCAACACACTGTATGTAACTGAAAGATGGTTTTATGTTTTATGTCATGTCTATGTGTAAAAAATAAAATCTTTTTTCAAAAAAATAATAATAATCTAGGCACTGGAACCATTTCAGGCCGAACTGTTGGTTCGTCAAAATATTGGTCTGGAGGAGCAGCAATGTTCCCTTCCACTTCCCCGACATCTGCTTCTGGTCCCAACTGGGCCATCTTCCTGGCCTTAAACAATAAGGCCCATAACTTTTGAGAATCAAAGAGCCAGTGAAGGAAGGTCTCTCCGAGGCCATTTCTTTGTCTGCCGAGAAATCAGATTCCCCCTTGTCTTCCTCTGGTGTTTTATGTGCAATGCTATGTATGGAGAGGTCAGGGGAAGCTCTGTCCCTTAAGGATTCTGCTTCTCTCATGGATGGACTGATCTAGGTCTGAATGTTCTGACACCACCGATTCAGGCCTCCTCATAGCTTGGAGGCCTTCCACAAGACCTTGCCTTATGGCTATAGAGATAATTGCCTCCATGTGCGCAGGTAATGCTGCTTCAGCCTCTTCAGAACTGTGCAAGCCAGCAGCTGTGGGCGTATAAGTTGCTGCCACCCCTGGTCTGCCTCTCTTTGGAGGAGGTGACCTAGTTTCATCCTGGCAAACTGCTTGGGGATCTCTGTAATCTGAAACTCCCTCTATTGGGTGTGGATCAGCAATAGCAGATGAGTTATCAGGTGACCAGGCTTGTAAGCAAGGTCCACTAGTGGAGGTAAAAGGCCCAGGCTCCATTTGTAAAACTGGAGTCAGAACAGAAGAATCTGACTCCTCTGGGTCTGGTGATCTACAGCTCCTCCCACCAGCAGCACGCTGACTTTTCTCCACCTGCTTTTCTAGAGCCTTCTGCCTTCTCGAGGCATCCTGTTCCTCTGCCCTGGAAGGTTTTTTGGGTTCAGGGGCCTTTCTCTTCTGCCTGCCCCTAGATTTACCTCTAGATTAGAGGGACTATGACCACCTTCCTGATCTTTATCTGCCATTCCACTGGGAGATTGGGATTAACAAACACAGCCAGACGGAGAGGATGGATCCTGGTGGGGAAGGGGATGAGGAGTTAATAACACATTTACTGCTTGCCCTTGCCAGTAAGGCCCCATCCAGAATAAAAAAAGGTCCTCTTACCTCTGAACTGGTGAAGCAAGCCTAGACAGGCCTATTGCTGGGCTGCAGCCACACCCTACCGGTCACCGCAATGTAATAATGGGCCTGAGTACAGGTCTACTGGCACCCATGCGATCACCTCAGTTTTGTAGCTGGAAACACAGCCCTGGCAACAAGGTTGATCTGCGCCCTCAGTTGGGGTCGAATGAGTCCTCACCACTCTTCAGCACCAACCGCTGCCATGCGGCTGCGCCCCCCAGCTGGGATCGGGCCAATTGCCCAATCAAGCGGCTGCTTTGTGCTGCTGCAAAGACCCTTCTGGGCCGTTTGCCCCTTTTAGCTGCTGCTGCTTGCTGCTACGCTTTGCGCTTTGCGCTTTGCAGCCAAGGCGATCGAATAGAAAGTGAAAGCAAAAACAGCGCTGTTCCTCCTTGCTGCTGCTGCGCTACCATGCACATAGCCCTTATCAGGCCGATTGCCTGGAGCCGCTCCATGTGTTTGCAGCTTCGCATGTTGGGGCAGCCGCCCTGAAGGCAATAGCCAAGCCTGGAGGCTAAAAGCCTCACTCCTTGGCTGCAGAGTCTTCCAAAAGCCTCTGCTGCTCTTTAAAACTTCTTTTCTTATGCAAGAAGCCTCCACTTGCAATTCAAGTGGAGCCTCAGCAACTCACGCCCTGTCCTGGCTGGACTGAGTCGAAAACTGGCGTGTGGCCATGGTGCAGGGCAGAGCTTCAGTTTTAACGCAGACTCATTCCAACAGGGCAGGATCTGATTTAACCCTATCTATCTGGACTCTTGGAGCCACAGATAGGAAAATAATAGTAAGTAGTTGACTGGTACACATATTTAACTACAAAACTTTTGTATTATAAAATTACAGAAAAGCATAAACAAAAACCTGACATATGAACAAACTTTGTCTCTCTGCATTTAGCCATGTGATTTCCACTACATGGGAGCCACTCATTGAGCAATGAAGGCTTCAGTTAACTAGTTTCCTGCAACAAACAAAAGTAACATCAATGGCTTCTGAACAAGACAAGCTATGAAGCCAATCATTAACAATATTTTGATATATCCAAGAGCTGGCAAATCCAAACTCCTTGTTCTCATCATCTCTCTCCTAGGAAACAAGCTGCAGTTTACATAATATAAAATACTATAATTATTAGAAATGGCTGAAAATTCAACACATTTACGAATATCAAAATATAGAGGAACTTCCATTTACTAGAAAATCTAATAGATTTAAAAACATGTTTTCAAAATAAAACAAATATAAGAACATTTCTCAATTATGAACATATAGAACATAAAGCAGAAGTAAAGTGTTCTGGCTTTGGAAATAGGAATCGACAAACTGTCTTCTACAAAGTCAGACTATTAAGTCTGTTTAGCTCTGGACTGTCCGCCCCAATTACAGTATCATCCCAAGATTTCAATTATAGAACTAAAGATGGTAGGAAAAGAATCTGGAACTTACTATATGCAAAGAATATATTACTGAGCAATTGCACTTTTTCACAAGTTTATAGTACAAAACTGGAGATAGTTTCCAGAAATGTTGAAATCAGAGAATGAAAAGAAGACAATTTTAGGAACTGAAATATGTGCAATAGCAGCCTAAGCTTATTTCATTATTTTACTAACACTAAAACTGTAATAACTTGGCCAGTAATTCAACAGAGAAAGTAAAATGTATAATTGCAAACTCAAAGTATCATTATCCAAGGACGGAAACTCACTCGTGTATTTTCTTAACCATCCTTGCACATAACTCCATATAATGTACTTAAAGATGTATCTTGAAAATGAAGCCATCCTCTGAAACATACCACACGATATACATATCACATCACATGCTTATTAATAGACTGAAGAAATGAGGAAAGCCAAAGTCTTTTGCTCATACCAAATACCTCCATAGTGAAATCCATAGTTAATGAATTCAGCAATATGGCATCTGAGTTTTACTACACTTTCAACTAGTATGTCCAGACAGAATCACAGAGTTTGTAGTTAACAGAAAATTTCAGGTTTCTTCACAGAAAAGACTATTGTTTTAAGGCAGGGGTGTCAAATTCACGTTGTCACAGCGGCGTCACATGACGTATCGGGACTTTTCTCCCCTTCGCTAAACCGGGCGGGGGCAGCACATGACGCATTTAGCCCACGGGTTTGACACCCCTGTTTTAACGGTACATGTTTCAGTCCCCATACTCAACACAAAATAAACAGTAAAAATTAAAAAAAAATACACACCTGACAAATTTTTTCTCTCTGTTTTTTGTGAAAGGATGGAAGAAGTGGGCACAGGCAGTTTTGATAAAGATGCCCCATTTGCATCAAATGATTTCTTTGGCTGATGATCTGACTGTAGAGAAAATGGACTAGGAGGAACAGAACTTGTAGTGGTAGAAGGGTGAACCACTGTTTTGATGGGATGTTGTCCTGGGGCAGAACTACTGTGAGTCTCTGTTCTTGGCAATCTGTAGTCTCTGTCATTGTGTCTGCTTGTCTGAGACAAAATATTCTGTGGGAGCAGATTAGCAGCATCACTGGAATGCTTGTCTTCCACTTTGGTTTATTGTTCACAATGTTGAAATGAGACAGAAAATACCAAGTTAGAGCTCTGCATTTTTTTCCTATTCCAGCATCAAGAGATATTAGTATATACTGCTATTTTAAAAAAATACAAACACATTGCTTAAATCAACATGAACTGTTGCATTATCTCCATTATCAAAACAAAAAACCACCAAATAATTTTGAATGTTTCAGCAGAAGACTACGTATCTATGAATATTTCTGAAAACTGGAAATTCCATATTTTGACTTTTAAAAATCTACAGGCAGTCCTCAACTTACAACCACAATTGGGACTGGAATCTCCACCATTAAGTCAGTGCTGTTGTAAAGCTAGTTGTCAGGTGACTGCACTGACTGATGGCAATCCTGACTTTCTTTTAGTCATTAACTGAGAATTAGGTTGTTGAGTACCCACCCCCAATCCAAGCGATTCTG